TTCACGGCCGCATGAAACTGGATTTTTCTGTGATGGGGGTGATTATGATGGATATCATGGCAGGTTTTTTCTCAATTGGTACTCTCAGGTTTTGGTTGACCATGGTGATAGGGTGCTCTCTCTGGCAAAGTTAGCTTTCGAAGGCACTTGCATTGCAGCAAAGGTAAACCAGCTCCACAGAATTCAATTTAATGTGCAAGATGAATTTTCTTATTACAAGATAAATAGAATATATGAAAAATGCATTTTGGAGCTATAGTTATTATATATTCTATTGTAAGTGGCTTCTGTCTATTTGATACTGGAATGTAATGTGTATAGTCTTGATGATAGCAAATTAAATAACATGTTAAGATTAACTTACGCAACTCTTGAATCTAGTTGGCTTATATTATTATACCGTATTTCACAATTAGAAACTTTAATCCTTCATTACTCTTTTGATGGTAAATCTTTGTATGTTCAGTCTATATGATAATGGAATTCAACTGTGTACTATATTGATGATAACAAATCAAATATCACATGAAGCTTATCTTACATGTCTATTTAGGTAGGGAAGCGTGAACTTGACAAGTCACAGAAAGATGGCATGATTATATTTGAACATTATTCTTACTCTGGTCATATATATTTTCATCCTTTTCCCCATCTATCATATAGACATGAAAAGAAGTGCATATTTGATGTGGATATTCAAAGAGATCATTTTACATATACATGTGGATGTTATTGGAGTATATTATGCACAAAATGTACATTATATAGATCACTTTGAAATTTTTATGGACTAACATGACCCCATTTTCATATGTTGTCAATACTTTAAATATTTATGCAGTTTTCGGGTATTTATTGGTGGTACAAGACAGCTAGCCACGCTGCTGAATTAACTGCTGGATTTTATAATCCATGCAATCGAGATGGTTATGCTGCTATTATGGCAATGTTGAAGAGACACGGTGCAGCACTAAATTTTACCTGTTCTGAAATGAGTATGTTAGATCAGCATGTTGACTTCTCTGAGGCACTGGCTGAGCCCGAGGGATTAGCCTGGCAAGTACGTGGCTTCTTGATATTCAAAATGAACTCCATATTCTCCAGTTAGAGAATATTTTGTATCGGCTAACCATTGATTTGTTTGCATAGTTACATCAGTGGTTTGCAGGGTAATTGTTAGAAAAATGCACACTATTCTTTCAATTTTTCTCATTGTAACAGCTTATATTGTAGGTACTGAATGCTGCCTGGGATGTTTGCATACCAGTTTCAAGTGAAAATGCTCTTCCATTCCATGACCGGGATGGTTATAACTATTTACTGGAAAAGGCAAAGCCTACTAGTGATCCAGATGGCAGGCATTTTTCTGCTTTTACCTGTCCAAAGCTCAGCCCACTTCTCTTGGAAAGGCACAACTTCGTTGAATTTGAACGATTTGTCAAGAGAATGCACGGTAAAATTATCATAATATTACTACTTTTTCATTTTACAAACTTATTGATATTTATTATTGTTTCCTTGCTATGTCACCTAGGTACTAGTAGTTGACTTAGCTATCGAAGATTCATTAGGATTTGAATGACTACCAACATTCTTGGTAGATTGGCGTTTGTAAGATGCATTGTATACGTACTCAAGTCTGCTTGCACAATTTGAAATTTATTGCTAATAAGGCTTAGTTTATTCTTCTTCTTAATTTTTTTAGTAAAATAGATTGCACTGCACGTCTCTACTCAATAATGTCGTTATCTACTCAAACGGACTCCAAATCACCTCAAACTTGGTGGAAAGCTTCCTAACGCCCCAAGGAACTCCTTCGCCAAGACCTTGTGCTCGTTGAATGAAAATGCTGCCTTTAAATTTTTATTATTTTGCAATAAATGATCAGAATGTTTCATCTCTAAAGAGAGAGCTCTTCCTAATTCTTATTTTCAGTAATACTTCTATGTTACATCATCATTCACCACCAGTCGATTTGATAAGATATTTTTTCTCCACGGAGCATCTAGAAAAATCGTCATTTAAGCATGGAATATAGTGGGGGCATTATTTATATATGCAGGCTCGTTAAACCACCATTAGCAGAAACGAGACAGTTGTAATTTTTCTATGTCTATTGCAGGAGAAACTGTACTCGAGTATCAGATATAGTTGCAGAACTCCCAAGTTGTACTCTAGGAAAGGCCGGAGAAGGGAAGGTAATAGATATTCTAATATTCCATTTTAGGTACACCTGTAAAGGAAATGAACTGAAGTAATATGTATACTGTTGATACTTTCATCACTCTGTTAATATAGGCTAACAAATTAAGATGATTAATTCTCCAGTACTTGTTGAGGGATTCAACATGTGGAATCATAGCAAATGATATATTTTTATTATAGTTTTTTTTTTATAATGACCGTGGAGTCTGCTTTAAATTTGTATGCCTAGCATCCTGGCTCAAGTGTATGCTTTAACACACATAATCCAATTATGTGCTTCGAGTGAGTGAACGTGGTCTAACTTTAATAGTAGACGCCTTTTCGCATTCCAGCCTTTTTAGCTAACATGATCGAAAAGAGAATATTGGTTATGGTTGGAAATGTCTCAATTGATTATTTGGTGTTTAAAAATTCTTTTTCAGACAGTACCATTCATACATATTGTTCCATAGAGCTCTTTGAGGTTCTCTGAGGTTCACAATATTGAGAAATACTAAGCTTAAAAATTATTTAATGTTATTTTTTTGGGAATATTTTATTTTAAATTTAACTTTTATCTTTCTCAAAATAGTTACATAATTGCTTAATTGTGAATTATGTTTGGCTAATATCGATCGAATTATTTTTTATCTACATGCCGCGAAACTCACAAATATTACTTATTCAATATGTTCCAAACATTTGTCCAAGTTTAGTCAAACACCTGAATTGTAGCCCAATTTATAGTGGAGGAAAATGATGTTTGTACAAAAAATTTTATGGGAAATTATAAAAAATCAGGTGTTTAAAGATTGATTTTTAAAAATTAGGTCTACAATTTTTTTATTCAAAAATCAGGTATTTTATTTTAAATATTAATCACTTAATCTATTCAAACCCTAAACTAATTCATTTCTCTCTACTCGCTCCCATTCTATTCATCTCTCCATTCTCTCAGCCGCCGCCTCCACCGCCACCGTCAGAGTCTTAATTATAACAAATCAGGTGTTTAAAGATCGATTTTTAAAAATCAGGTCTACAATTTATTTATTCAAAAATCAGGTATTTTTTTGTAAATATTAAACACTTAATCTATTCAAATCCTAACATAATTCATTTCTCTCTACTTCCTCCCAATCTATTCATCTCTCCACTCTCTCACCCGTCGCCACCACCGTCATCGTCAGCTTCTCCTCCCTTCTGCCTCCCCCTTCCACTACCCTTATCCCTCCCCCTTCCACTGCAGCAGGGTCGCGATGCTGCTGTGCGAACGTTGTCGCGACGCTGCCGGGTGCAGCAGCGTCGCGACGCTGCTGTACGAACAAACAGCGTCGCGACCTGAGGCCCAAATAGGGAGGCTGGTGTCGGCTTCGTCTGTTCGTCGTCTCCCTCTGGGTACTGTTCGTCTCATTTGGGTACTGCAAAGACCTGGCAAGTCAAGTGCCGTCGGTGAGTTGAGTCAATTTCATGGGTCGTCGATTAGATGCAGCCGATGAAATTTCTTGGTCACTGTCGTGCGGCGAGTTTGGGGTTGTTGGTTGAGTGTAGCTGTCAATTGGTGTGGTAGAGTGGTCGGNGTTGTGCGGAGGGTGAAAATCTGGAGGTTTTGAGGGTAATTGGTAGTGGTTTGCAAGTTGTGACTTTGTTTGTAGTTGGATGGTGGTGGTTGAGATGTTGGCTGCGGTGTTGAGGTGGTAGTGATGTTTGCGGTGCTGGTCGACGACGGTGATGTTGGTGGTTGTGGTGGTGATGACGGCGGCGGGGTGAGGGTGGTCAAAAGTGGCTGAAGTGGTAGTGTCAGTGGTATGTGACCAAGTATTTGGTTATCTGGTGACCAAGTATTTAACTGTGACCTAAAAATTTGATAATATGTGATTGAAAAATAATTTGTGACGAACAAATTTGAAAATATGTAACCAATTAAATTAACCACTTTTTTATATATGACCTAAAAATTATATAATCTGTAACCGTAAAAAATCAGTGACCAATTAATTTGGAAATCTGTGACTGTGAGACCTATAAATTTTAATCTGTGACCAATGAATTAAATGTGGCCTATAAAATTTTTGAACTGTAACNGGAATGATTGCCGGAATAGTAGTCGGAATGGTCGTCGGAATAGTCGCCGGAATCGGAGTACTCGTCAAAATGGTCGTCGAAGAAGAGTGGCAGTAGGAATGGTCGCTGGAATAATCTCCTAAGCGGTAGGGGTGGTGCATGTGGGGTATGTTTATTATATTATATTATATTAGAATTAAAAAAAAACCCTAATTTTTGAATGTTCAAATTATAAACATGATTTTTGAATTGGTGTAAACTAAACACCTTATTTATGAATTTTTCCCAAATTTTATTACAGAAAAATTACACTCACATGGGATGAACCCCACCTATTGTGATTAATCTGTAAGGTGTCTGTAAAAAATGGATCCATTATCCACGTTCCTAGTCAAACATATTTCAAGATAAGATAAATATAAAATCTCTAACATCACATCAATTCAATATTCATTTCATTCCAATCAGCCCATCCAATGAATGGATATAGGCATCATTTGATAAATTATATTCCTTGTTGGATAGCCATCATTTAATTAATTACATTCACGTGACAAAAAGTTAAAATCTTATTGTTGTCTATGTCCTACATTGTACAAATAAAAAGAAAAATCTAATATATCTTTTCTTGTTATTTGATTTTCATTCCCTGGTACAACATCATGCAACAATGACGAAAAATAACTGAACTTAAGAAGTAACGAAGGTACGGTTCCGAAAAAGAATGAATGTCGTTTTCTGAGCTACTTCTAAAGTCATTTCTCCAGCCTCGATTTCCTCGACTCATCCGTATCAAAAATGACCCTGGCCAGATTATCCGAGCTCTCTTGCCTCTCGGACGATGTGAGAGAAAAATCTTGTGTTCTAGTCGAGTTTTCTCCTTTCTCCATCTCTTGGAAAGTTCCATACGAAGGGGAGTATGCAAGGGGAACATCCAAAGCAATCGCCCTTTTTATTGCTGCTCGATACTCTTCTTTATGTTCTTTGGCAAGAGATGCCTGCCGCTCCATCCTCTGTGCTACCGGAATATCCATAATCCGCTCACTTTCCAGCAGTGACTGTACTAGAGAAAAATAAGTATTATTCAAAATCATGGTAAGAAAATTTTATCTTGACTTTTTTAAACTGCTAAATATATACTTGAAAAGCTTATGAACATCAACAATAACAAACTAAGCAGTATTTCAGGCATATTGAATCGGCTACATGAATCATTTTTCTCCAACTATTGGAAAATGAAAAGCAACTAGAACACGTCGCCTGCCTCATCCACAGCAACCTCACATAAGATGAGGATTGTCATCATATTTTAAAAGAAGCTTATAAAAAATCATAAATTCATTTAGTACGAATTGAGAAAGAGATATCTTAGCCAAACATTAAGTTTTGATTCGTTGAGTGCATAGTACAAAAAGTGGCCTAGAGTTGAGTGAATGTCCCTACAAGGTACAACAGACATGTTCCAGTGCTTCTGACGTGTACTGGTTCTTCTTCCCGGCTCCTGAGACCAACCTGAACTAGTTCTAGAAATTCTCTAATTGAAGTGTGTGAAAAATGACAACCGAAACCAAATAATTACTGCAAAAATATATTCATTAACAATATCATGTCATCGGACATTGTTTTCAAACAAGTATAATATGTAATTTTATAGGATTTAAAGTAAATGTGCCTTTGACTTCCATATTATCTTTCTCGCACTTACTAGCAATGCAAATTTGACGTGTATTGAACTGCAACATGTGCCATTTGCACATTCATTCTCAAATCTTCGAAACAAAAAACAGAGAGAGAGTTCGAAGGAAAATGCATAAACAGAGTTTTAACAGAACAAATAGAGAAGACATGTCCATCTATATTTTAATTACAACAAGTCAAAGCACAAGGAAGATCATTCCCATCCTTGCGAGAATCTACACACAAAAACATATTTGAAGATCACTGTTTCTAAGAATTTAATGTTGTCTAATAGATTAACTTGAATTTTCAATTTTACTATTAAAAACTCTACCTGTGAGAAAAATTATTAGTAACCTACTGTGTTGAAGATATACGAATGAATAAATTTTTGCACTTTAGCTTTTAGATGCAGATTCCTTCTAGAAAACTGAGAACTTACATCAAGTGCTCTTTGAGATTCCTTAAGTATCCAAATGATGGCATGATCTGAAGTTAAGTTGCAAGAGAGAACTAAGTGCTCAAACCGTCCATCCACCGGTACTGCAGTCTTAACAACCGGTGAAATTTTTTTGAACCTGCACATCACATAATCTGTGTAAAACATGAATACCGCGTTGCATTATGCCACTTTAGATACGTGATCATCTAGAGAGAGTTGCTAGAGCTTTATATTTAATAATCAGAGTTCAGTTTTCATGTCCTATAATGGGATTTCTCACTTTGAAGGGTTTTGTTGTCTTTCAGATGCTATCATGCTAGTTGTTTTCAACAGAATATTGTAGGTGTAGGATGTCAGAGGAGTAGCCATGACCCATTTGCAACCTCCAGACTCATTTTCAGAAACATTTTTTTTTCTCTTATGCATGCGTGCGGGTTGGGAGGTTTTCCCAAAAATCGGGAGGTTTTCCCAAAAATCTTACAAGTCCAGCACCATATTCTGCACTGTTGGACTACAATACAATCGTGCACGCCAAACAGTGTATAGTTTGTTCAATGATAAAGATAACCCCCTCCCCCAAAACCCGGCCATGAGAGCCATTATAGTTCTCTCTTTCTTATCTCCATGGAAAAGGCTTACTTCTAGTTACTCCTACCAACGCAAAGTCAAACTGTGGTGTCCAATTTCCTCTCTCTACAATCCCATAACTTCTCAAAATTGTACATTATATCAAAAAACTTCACTCCATACCTGAAGGGCTTCCTCACAATAATGTGATAGAGGCGACCAGGTGCATACAGGCGCCTTGGATCCTGTAGCATCTTCTCCTCTAGTGTGCACGTATCTTTCAAGCACATTATGCACATCAAGCACGGGAAACTATCCAAGAGAAGGCAAATTAGTATTATGAGAGTAACAATTGCTCAATTAAAAAATGTCAGTGCATGCGGATTCAAAATCTCATATTCAGGTACGAGTTTGGCAAGTGCCTTGAGAGATTGAGAGGAAACAGTTTTATTGATTTCAGCTCGTCTAAATTTGGAAGTGAAAATGTGACCCGGCGGGTCACTTCTTTAGCGCTTGTAACCTTGGGATAATTACCATTTGATCAGGTTTGACAAAGACTGTTTCTTTTTAGGCTAAATGCAAGAATCTGTTTTGTAATAAAAAAATATATTTTAATGTATAAACTAAAGTATTGTTGTGGAAAAGAAAAAAAATGTTAGAAAGTTGATATATTGCATTGTCATTGAGTTTCAGTGGTGCTAACATGAATTGATCCATTTTTGCAACTCTTATCTTGAAAGTTTAAAAACAATAATATTCTACATAAGTTAAAATGGATGTCAAGATTATTCACAAAATATCATAAAAAGGCAATACAGAAAGATGGCAGGACCTGAAACCTTTTACCAGAAAAGTGATTTGTAAACATTTTCCAGCGCTACTGTTGTCCGGGGTAAGAAATCATCCTGGTTAACAGTGAGAAAAACAGATAAGAATGTAATAAATAAACTTTAGGCAGACAGGAGATGTTCAATCCAGGGTAACGACGTGAAAACATTAAATGTATCATAATCTAATGTTAGTTGGCACTTAAAGACCTAAAAAGGCATCTCTCTCTCTCTCTCTCTCTGTGTTGAGGGTCATCATCGATATTTTCTCCATTCTTATCTTCAGCGAAAAGTCTCGTCCAACCTTAATTCTAAGATATGTGAAGAATGCCTCAGAACCCCATGGGCTTGTGTAATGTGAGACAAGGTAACTAAAAGATGAAAAGAAACTTGTCAAAGATAATAAGCCTCAAGATTATAACAGAAAGGCATACATGAAATTATTAGGATTCTATCAGAATCGTCTAAGCATGAGAAATTACCTCAAGAAAATGTATATTTCATAGCAGAATCTCATGGGCTTGTGTAATGTGAAGAGAACGTGTCTGTGAAGAAATTCTTGAATATAATCTACTCAAATGACCAATAAGTTAAAATAGCCTGTAGGCAAATATAAACTGCATATATCTCCATTGGTATCTTATTCACAATCCTTGAAGCAAATTAAAGCAAACAGGTCAAAAAATAGACAAATCGATCATTACCTGCAGCACAACCGAATTGATCACGTCTGCATATCGTACTGCCAAGTTTAGCGATATACACCTAGTAGGAGCAATTGCAAAGCATCTGATCCTTTTTCTATCAATGTTCCCCAACTTTTCCCTATTCTTCAATGCCAATATTGTTAACAATGTTACTACTCCTGCACCAAGTGAATGCCCGGCAAATGTCAATGTATATTCCGGGTTTCTTTCGAGAAGCTCTCTAATAATGTCGCATTCTTCTTCAAAAACATATTGAGCAGCATTCAGCAATCCATGGTGCACATAACCACCATCATATTTTGTCTGCCCCAGTTTGTTATCAAGTAAGAGTAAAAAATCACTTTCTTTAGCTAAATCAAGTCCCCTAATTGCTACAACTACATCTCTATTCTCATGATCAAGATAGATCATGTATGGAGATACTCTCCCTTGAGTATCTCCATGATCTTTTTTCAATATTATCCAATCCGGTTCGATTCCATACCCTCCCAGGGGAGCCCACAAAGGGTTTCTAAGATCATCTTCATAAACTGATAGAATATATCTACAAATCCGGGGTACGGGTATGAATTCACTAGCAGTTGCAAGGCCCCAATTCTCACTTTCACGGCCAGCAGCGTACATAAATTTCTTCCACACCCATCGAATACACGCTAAACAGGACACACATTCAACAACTGGAATACAGCAGGCAACTGACATTTATGCCTACCAGTTAATCATACTAAAACAGAATAATCAAACTATTTTCCACGGCAAAAATAAAAGAAAAATATTAATTCTTAAATGGGCTTTGATTGTCCAGCAAATCGAATCGAGTATATGCAAAAGGGCAGAAATCCAAAGGTAAATACATGGATGAGGAAATAAATTGGGTCTTATTGGAAGTTTTATCGAGAAAGAGTGAAAACAGCAGTGCGGCTAAAAGGCTGTAATAAAGAAGTCAGAAAAATCAATTTCGTAAAATATACAAGATTACCCACAAGAAAAGAACTATTCACTTGTGGATTGTAGAGGATACAGCTCAACAACTGCTGATTAAGTGACAAGAAAAGGAAAGATTTCAGTACATCAACTTAGAAACAGAGAAATTTTCGAGAAGGGACAAAATGATTGAGAAATAGAAAAAAAAAAAAAAAAAATGTAAGGAGGAGAAGAGTTGGAAAGACCTAGAATAGCTGCAACAGCAAGTCAAAGTCACTGTCCTTTCCGCCCTTTCTTGAGAATCCATTCACAATGTTATGCCCGGATTCCATTAATTCGTTGGCATGACAGCGTTTTTCTTTGTTTTCTTCTTGTTGTACAGTGAGAATTTAAGGGTGGGTTCCTTTTTGTCCAAAAATCTCAATCCTTAAGTTTAAGTAGATCTAACGGACCATTTTTATTTCATTAAAACAATATAAAATTTTTCAAAAGCATCTGTCCAATATAGAAATTGAAGTGGATCCAAACATTCTTTCGTGATCACAAAAGAAAAACAAAACCCATAATTTTTTTTTTTTTAACAACAAAATGGTTCAGATTATACTGCCAAGCTCGCTACAGTTTTACAGTCTTCATCAATAGAAGAACAAGAAAATAAGGAAAATCCTGCCATCGTTGTGACCTGTGAAAATTTTAAATTGTTTTAATGAAGTAAAAGTGGTTTGTCAGATCTACTTAAATAAATGATTAAAATTTGAATAATGCTGAATGTAGTTTGATAACCCCTCACATGGGGTGGGTCAAGAGATTTTTAAAATTGTGGAGCTCCACTCCCTATGTGAGGGGGCTGTCAAACATGATGTACACCAAGGATGTACATCAAACATGATTCTTAACAAATTTTTGTCAAATATATTTGTCAAAAATCTTGGTACAAGGACCATTCCCAAAAATTTAATAGTATATTCTTTTCCTTTGGGTGGTTATATTGCCACTATGATTTTCTTTGATACATTACATTTTAATAGTATTTAAACTCTTTAATTTTTAGTTCATTGTAGCAATTGTTTTCTTAACTTTTTTCGTCAAATTCTTATTTTTAACATTTTATTAATCAGTACTTATTGTCGTTGGTGATGATTTGTATCAAAATATTTTTTTTCCATTCTTTAAAATGCAGGAAAAATATTTTTTTCTCAATTGTAATTATTTATTTTTAAAAATATGATAAAAATAAGTTGTTTTACGCCATTTCAACGGACTCTTGGACATAAAACCGTTATCAAATACAAGATATGTTAACTAATGAAAAATTTGAGAATAAGAATTACATGAAAAATCGTTAGAGATATAAGTATTATGATGAGCAATGATTAAGAACCTTACGTTTAATTAAAATACGGTGCAAGAAATAAAAATTGTGGTGTGAATATAATTATCCTTTATATATATATAAACTCGAGATATTAAGTCCTGTTTGGGAAGTTAATTGTCTCAACAATCATTGAACTTATGTCTGTATTTTCGATTACTCATTGAAATTTAAAATGTCAAGTTTTGATCACTAAATTTATTCAAACATTGGACATTACTCATGATGTAACATCCGTTTCAAATATCTAATGAAATTAATGATGTGGTTAATGAAATGTACAAATGATGCCACATTACATCGTTACCAAATTGCCACGTAAGAAAGTTTTTTTCATTGCTCGCTGTAGTGGTAAAAATCGTTCCACAAGCCCAAAAGGTTCAAGTTCAAAAAATAAGGCCCACAGATGGCCTACTTGATGAACGCAATATCTTTTGGCCCAGTTCATTACGTCGATCGAGCCAAAAGACCCACATGTCAATTCGCAATCCTTCATAATTTATCTCAAAGATAAATCACATTACAATTTGATCAGATCAAATAGAAGTTATTTGAAAGCAAGTTGGGAATCTTAACTGAATAGATCTTATCAGTACCAACCAACAAATCTCGCTGAACCCTCGTCAATCCCGCCCAGACGGTTATCTTACTACTATAAAATCCGTGGTCAGTCTTACGTTCAGGTACACAGAAAAATAAGTACTACTTTGCTCTGAATTATTTCTTTTCTCTTTTGGTCTAGTATTCCTAAAATTCTTGAAAAGCTTTTCTGACTTGATCGTCGGAGGGTCTTCAGTCGGCACCACACTGGTGTCCTCTTGAGATCTTTTTGTGGTCTTTTTTCCTTTGTTCTACTTTTTTGCAGGATTACTAGTGGCCTGATCGACTCGATTTTCTCAACTGCAGAATTTATCGTCTACAACTATACAGTTTATGGTCACAGTTATATACTAGTAACAATTATAGAACGTTGTAGTTACAAATCACAAATTTTATAGGATACAATTTATTTATCGATCACAAATTATCAATTAATAGGTTACATATTATTTCCCAGACACAAATTACAAATTTTATTGGTCACAACTTATTTCACAGTCACAAAATGTCAAATTAATTGATCACGAGTTATTTCTCAATTACAAATTATCAATTTAATTGATCACAATTAAATTGTGAGTCACAATTTTACATTTTTTTTTTATTGTTATAGATTATTTATTAGTCGCAAATTAATCAATTTATTAATCACAATCACCCAAATAATTGGTCACAAACACTCTTTATACTCACCCCTACCCTTAACCCCACCACCACAACCACTCTACCGTGGCCTTAACGACCCCACCACCACAACTCCACCATTTGTAACCACCACTAGTTCCTCACCACCACCGCCAACAACTACCATTTTCAAATGCAATACAATCACCACCACTACTAACAAAATTTACACTGCACGCATAGCACACTACAATCGCACCATCATCGCTCCCTACTTCACACAGCACCCATCCAGCCACCAAATCGTCGATTCGCAACCACCAACAACCATCGCCGCATGAACCACTCAAACCTCCGCAAAAAATACAAAAAAAATCATTGGCCACCACAAACTAACATAACTATGACTGCATAGCAAAACCCCAAAACCACCATCAGAGTCAAAGTTTCCCTAGATTGTGCAACAGCGCACACTCTGCACACAACGACATCATCGTCGCTGAGTGCAGTGTACAATGTGTAAGCACTGTTGCTGTAGTGGCAGTTACTTCACCACAACGATGTCATCTTCATAGCGGCTCTCACAACATCGTCACAGTGGGCGGTCACATCATCTGGGGCAGAAAAGATAGAAAAGTGAGAGATGAATGAGAGATAGAATGACCGAGGGTAGTTTAGGGTAAGGTGGTGGGATTATTAGTAATATATTTATTTAATCCAATATTAAATACTAATTATAACCTGAATTTTACTGTCCAATTTATTTTATTTTGCAAAAAAAATATTGTTTTACACATTGTTGTTATTCTTTTTATAATAATTTAACAATTGTAACAAAAGTTACAATTGTTAACACTTTTTGTTAGAATCTTTTAATAGTTACTCAAATTGTAACACTTAAACAAATTGTGTACACATACATCACTACTACCACTATCGATTTCTACAACCACCTTTGAAACGTTACAATTGCAACACAAATATGAAATGTAACTCTTGTAAGTTGTCTTCCCACCACTACAAATCATCATTCACCAGCACCACCATACTCCATCACAACAACATTAAATCAATCTATAAACCAGAAGAAAACATTAAAACCATTCAACAAAAGTCTGAATTTTTTATTTTTTTTTTTAAAATCAAATTTCAGATAAGAAAATGTTAACAAATTCTGACAAAGTTCACCAGTTAAAGTCAAAAGCCAGTACAACCCCCCCCCCCCCCCCCCCNAATGGCCCAAATTTAATTGACGTTTCAAGCCCCCAAAAACTCCGACCTCGATTAATTTTATTTGCACTGAACAATATTCCTGGCTCCACCCCTAAATATTTGCATATGTTGTTGTTGCAATTTGTTATTTTCTTGTAGCATTTATTGGATATCACACATTTGAGATTATCGTTGATAACAATATTCTTCTTTCACTTGAAAAATCCAACTGACTTATTGCAATGGCTAACATGTTCGTTGTTGTTCATGTATTGAAAATTATCGGGTAAATCATTTTTTTCGAAAATTTCCTGCTTTGATTTATTCAACGAGTTATATTTTATCGTGTTTATTCATCTTTAGTTTTTGAAAAACTCATGTATATGTCATGCCGGTGTTTGACATAATAGAAACTTGGTGTGTAAGGCAATGCACGATCGAGCGCAAATGACTGAAGTCTACTGTCCTTGGAATGCCCGAGTTTCACTCGAGCATCCTTAATTTTTGACCCCACAGTAAAAATTGTCTGGGTCCGCCCCTAGTTGAAGGTGGAGAATATGTCAGTGTTAGTAAGTTTAAATTTGAAGGCAGAAAAATAAAGAACTTACACTTCAGTGGATGGGTTGCTAGGGTTGAGTTAACGGGTTAAATGTTTCATTAATCACTAAATTTATACATTCGTCATATTTTATTCACTATACTTTAAAATGTTTTTCGAGCTGTCATGAATTTTAACATGTTGCCCTCTATGACTCACCCATCATGTTTCATTAGTAAATGAACTTTAAAAATGCTTAAAGTGGTCGCTGAAATTTAACAAGTTGCATTCTATCACATGCTATGTTTTATTAGTCACTAAACTTATATATCTATCTCGTGATCACTAAACTTCATATTATATTTGAATAAAGTTAAATTTCTATAAGATTCGACCTAGATCAACAAAGTAAAATAAAATAAATATCGACTAGATAATGAGACTCTCAATTTAAGACGATAATATTGATATTTGTAAATAAGATGTAATTTATCTGGTCGTCAAAATTTTTGTTTAGGAGATAGAAGAATGCTAGCTTCAATTGACATAAATCTTAATTTAAATTATAATATTTCTTCACGTCGAGAAAATGAAATAGAGAAACTATTTCTTAATTTCGATTGAGATGTTAGACCCAAATCATAAAATAAAAAATTATATCTCAAACAGATAATGAAATTTTTGATTTAGAGTCAAGAATATTAATCATGATTAATAAAATATAATTTTTAGAGTTGCCATAAGGTTTTCAAGAGGAAAAAATAGCGCTCTCTTTGTGTATAGTATTTTATACTTCAAAATTTTCAATTTTTTAGCAGTTGGATTCAATTAGTAAA